ATTTTTTTTTTTTAATGCTTTTATTACTAAATATAATTTTCGTTAATATTTTTGAGAAATCTGAGTTCATGGAAAAATGTATAGGACTTCATGTTAAAATTCCAGATGCTTTGGATAGAATGTGCTGCTAGAAGTAGGGGTATCTATGCTGGGATTGATATGTGCCTTCAATGATGTGAGATTGGAGGACACATAGAAATCATCCTTAGATGTGCAAAATTCTTGTTGTTAGCAAAGAAATCAAGTCTAGATTTTTGGGGTAACTTTCAATTTTGTGCATTGGTTGTCTGATGCTTCTCAAGCTTTTGCTTTGAAAATTCAGAGGTTGCATATTTTGACTCAATACTTTAAAGATTATGGATAAAATGATAAATATGGTTTACTGGATGGTTGTGTTTTATTGCTGCAAATTTACCTTATATAGATTTATAACCTTTTTTTCAGTTATTTTTGCCTTTTCAGTAGAAAAATGGGGTTTAATAAAGAGAAGTTTGCCACAAAAGAACAAATCAACTGACACATTTTTTTTTTACCTTGCTATGTGTGAAGTATTTTTAAAAGTACCATAAAAATACAAAATAAGTGAATCTGGCTGCAGTTTATTGTTTAATGGGTATGAGAGAGACTTTAGGTTCAGTGCCATTAAGCAGTTTCCTTAAATGGGGATGTGGTTTGGAATGGCTGTTTATAAATATGCAGATGTACTTAAGCCCAATAACTGTCAAGCATTTGCATGTTAATGAAGTGCTGGTGCACTAAGCAGTGGACAGCCAGCTGGAACTGTGGAGATAGGATTTATGCTGAGGGTCTCAGGGAAACTGCCATGCCGTGTAAACAGAAGGTATAGCTCCTATTGACTGGCAGAGATCTTGTTTGCTATTGACACTTATTTCCTTGTATTCTATCAGATGCACAGTAAAGCCAAGCTCTTGCTCTCCCCAACCCTTCTGTTTTTTTCCCTAAAGTAAATCAATTTTGAGGACAGAAATGAATACCCTTATTTCTCACATAGACGGCAGAATTCATAAGGGAATAATTACAAGTCTAATTCAGCTCTTTTAATGACATCAGTCCAGTGATTCTTGGATTCAAAGTCCCGGATGAGTTCCTAAGCTTTTTAACTCTAAGCTTCTAGGCTGAAATAGTATGACTTTTAAATTTTGTTTTCATTGGAAGATCAAAGAAATGACTGCAGCATTAATTAATTGTGCATATTTTGTTTGTGTAGCCCACTGAAGAAAGATTGTGTATTTAATAACATTCATTTGCTGGTTGAGATAAGGAAAGGAAAGAAGGCTGGTGTGTTGGGCCTATCAGAGGAATTGTCTGTAGGGCTGAGAAAAGCTTTTAGAAGTTGGGCATCCATGTATATATTTTCTAGAAGATTTTTCTGTCAGATCTAGTCTGTTAATCCTGACATGAGCTTTTCTAATGGGCTGGGTTGCAGGTGGATTACTTGGGGTGACTGTTTTATCTTGTGCAGATTTTAAGCACATGAAGATTTTGTATTTTGTACGGAAGTTACAAATACATCTTTGGGAATGTAGAGCGGAATTGCATGTTTCTACATTATTTTCTTTTTGGTAATGTAATAGTATCCATAACTTCCCCTTATGCAAGAATACAATGGGGGAGTGCTGGGGCAGTTTGTATGATTAAAAGCTGTACTCCTTTGGTCAAGGCAGGCCAGACATCCTTTTTACCCATTCTTTGGCAACTCATTATATTGTCCTTAAGCTATTTCTGGAGGTGGGCGCAACACTGGCCTTGCTCTGAGTGTGGGACATCTCTGCTGGTCTCTATGATTTTTCAAAGTCAAGAGAGAGCAGACACTACAACAGTAACCTCTTCTCTCAGCACCCTTGTGTGCAGCCCATCTCTCATGTCCTCACAGATGCTGAGTTGCTGCTGTCCCCAGAACGATCACTTCCTCTGCTAGACTGAGGTGCAGAGCACAACTGAATGCACACTTACCAGAAAACATCCTTCCTTTCCTCTTAGTTTTTGTTTCCTTGTACTGTAAGGGAAGGGAACTTCTTTGCCAGTCACACACAAAGATGGTGCTCCTTGGTCTGGTTTGCTCAGAAATAGGACAAGAAGTCATGCAAAGCAGCTGCTGCGTGCTGGGAAAGGAGAGCCGTGATGTTTTGCCGAGGAGGAGAAATGCTGGAGAAAAACCTGTCCCCTTCTGCAAGTCCTTTTTGTAATGTAATGGGATTATTCCTTAATTAAAAGAAGTCATAGATCTTTGCCTGCTGGTTGGAGGCAGCACACCTGTGCGCCGGCTCCAGGGGGAGCTGGCTCTGGTTGCCTGCTGGCTGCCGGCAGCCGCTCTGATCCTGTTTCTGCGGGAACAAGTGTTGGATCAGCAAATGGGATGTATGTGAGAACAATAACACACAAATATTGATTTGCTGGCTACCCGAGCTATTTCTGTGGTTGTAAGCTGTCTGCCTTCAGCCGCATGCCGAACTCTGCACGTAAGGCACAGCGCCCCTGCTCTGCTGCCTTGTCTTTACCGCTCACAGAGGACTGAGGAGTGCTTTAACACATGGCATGTGAAAAAGTGCATCCCTGGAGCGCTTGTGTGGTCAGCCAGACCTTAGTCCAATCTATTACTTCCACTACCACCTATGCCGATATTCGTGTTACGTTTGTTAACTCTGCAAACTGAGGATGAGGGCTGCCTTGGTGTCTGGCATCTCCCAGAGGAGTGAGAAGAGAACAGGAGAGGTGGTTACCTTGTAATTTTGCACCCCCTGTCCCTTTCTTTCTTTATTTCTTTCTCACTTAAAAAAAAAAACCCTAACCCTATCCCTTCATATTTAGTCCTGTGCGAAAGGTTAAATTTAGCCTGTCCCAGTTAGAGCAAAAGGGGGTGAAAAACCCCATTATGATAATAATATTATGTTCTGTGTAATTTTAGATGTCAGTCTGAAAATCTGCTGGTGTGGGATCGTGTTCAAGCATAAGTCATGACTTACAATAGAGCTGCAGTTAAAAATTCTGACTTTACTGTTACATGAATGCAGAGTTAACTCTTATCACTATCTAAATAACAGCAGAATTGTTGGTTTTGATCTTACTACACAAGATGCTAATCAGCAACCAGATTTCTTGTAATTAACCCCTTATTAGGTGGATTTTCATTTTTTTTAAACCTACACAGCTTTTTATTTTGTATATCCCTAGACACCTCTGTATTTTGTAGTTTAATTCCATTTTTAATGGAAAGGAATCTTAGCTTTCTTGGACAAAGGGTTAAAACAGAGTTTGCACCTGAAAAAGGGAATTTAATGCTTTGCCCGTCAAGCAGCAGTAGGATGAAAACCCCAGAATGCCTGACAACTGTCTGTCTGACAATACCTGACTGACTGTATTCTGTTGCCCTCACTGTCCTATTAGGAAACCTTTCCAGGGCTCAGAGAGCTCCCGAGAGTTATGCTTTTTTTGCAGAATCTTTCTTTCTGCCCTTCCTTCTCTTTCCTTTTTATTATTAAATTACTTATTAATTACTCCCCGGATTCTAAGGCTGTTAAATGCAGCTCATCACACTTTGACTTTATGCCAGAGAAGCTCTTGACTTCTTCAATTCATCCAGCTTCAAATTGCTCCCATTGTCCAAACCTGCAGCTGGCTATTGATGTGGTGTGGAAAAGCCCCGATGGAGCAACCTTTCCTTGAGAGCACAACACGGGAACAGCAGGGCTCATGGAGACCTTTGGGCTCTTTCTACAAGCTGAAAGGATTTCTTCTGCAGTTTGGGATCCCTCTGTGGGCTTGGTACCTGTTTGTGTTGCTCTCCAGCTTCTGCAACACTGTTTTATTGCAGTGTGCTACTGAAATTACTCTTGCTGGCAGAACTTGTTGCCTGTGGGGTTTTTGAAAGGTTCCTGGGCACTTCCGAGACAGCTGGCAGACAGTTCTTGTACTGAAAATCTCCTTGCAAATATTGGAGATCTTATGATTGCTTCAGTTGTCTGCTTTAGTAAAAAACCTCTGCTGTGTGTCAAAAACTAAAGGAATTATTTTTTCTCTTCAACACACTGATACTTCCTGGCAATTGTGAGCAGGACATAGACCCATTAAAAGCCCCCAATTAGCTCTTAACCAATGTTTATGCAATAGCTCAATACAAATTACATTCAAACATTAGCATAAAGCAAAACTGTGCTATTTTCATTTTGACAAATTCGTGTATGCTGTGGAAACCACAGAATTTGTGGGAGAAGGAGAATGCCTTGGAGAAGAATACAGCATTAGCTGGCCATTGGTTAGTGAGATGATACACAAACCTCGGCGTCAGTCTGGCTTTGTTTGTTGCTCCAGGAGTTGTGGGCTGCTGAATGTTTTTTTAAGGAACACTTTTCTCAGTTGCATGCTTGCCTAGAGGTGGTCTCCTCCACCACAAGCACCTTATTCTTGCCAGTCATCCCTTCAGGCTCAGCATGCTGGTGTAAGCTGAAGCAAGAAAACATATCCGCAGACCACAGCATGCTGCATCTTATCAGCTGTGGCCAGCAAACAAGCTCAAATCAGCCCTAATTTGTAAAAAGCTTACCAAGCTAGGACTAGGCTCCTCAGGAGAAAAGGTGCCTCTTTCTCACCAGCTGAAATGATGAGATACACTGGGGGCTGCTGTCCTGGATCGATTGAATGTGCTGATGCCCTGACACTCTTTGCAGACATCAGACGTATTTAGTGCTTAGGGCATGCCTCCATACTGCTCTGTTTATCCTGAGCCTCCTGGAAACCATATGTCTGTGATTCATGGGGCATCGAGCCTGGGCTAATCAGCTATGTTGACAGGCAGGGTATATTTTATTGGGCTTAATGCAACCTTAATGTTGTCGTGCAGTTTCCAGAATATTTAGTGTGGATATGCCCATGACCAGAGGAGCTTAAATTGACTTGGAATTTGTCCCTGTCCAGTTCAGACTGCATGACCTTTAAAGCGACTGTGAAGCAATATCTCCTCCTTTTTCCTCTGTGTCCCAAAGGCCAGCCCAGGACAAGGAGGTTTTGAAAGGACACAAGAAAAACAGAGCCAAAGTAAACACCAGCAAGGAAAGAGAAGAGGAGAGGAAGAAACAGAAATATCCATGGAAATCTGTCAGGTACAGAGAAGGCCCTTTCTGACATACTCTATTTCTTATAACACTTAGCATACACTTAGTTAAACCAGTAAAAAAAGCCATTCTGACCCTGTGAGATGTTATGCTTGCATTTACAGTATATTCCTGCTGTGAAGATAATATTCAGCATTTGAACTATGACAAACTGGAACTGTTTTGTACGAACTGTGTGTTTTAACAAAGGTGTGTTTTAAACTCTGGTACATTTTCCTACTTGCTCTCAACCAGGTTTATGTATTAAAAAAAATAAAGGAAGAAGGCAGTGTGAGAGCATGCTGTGAGTATGCTACAGAGTTGCCTAGCTGACTGACCCTCCCTATTTGGCTGGCTACTTTCTGAGAGCATGTTGAACACATGCTCTGGTGCTGTTTGAAGGCCCCATGAGAGGAAGAAACTGATTGAAAGCTCTCAGTTATGCTGAAGTGGGTGGCCAAAGTGCTGGAATTGAACAGCTGCTATGAACCTGCTGAACTTTGTTGTTTATAAATTATTTTGCAAGCCATCTGGAACAAGAATGGTGCCACAGTTTACAAAAGCTGTAGCTGAGGTTTTCAGGTTGAGCAGCAAGTGTGAAATATTATTAAGTGATTATCAGATTTTAAAGGCTTTTCTGAGTGGCTTAAAGAGAGACTCTTAGGTTAGAGAGGTTTTAACAGAAACACATTGCTGGCTTTTCTTTCCTCACGGTGTGTTTATCTAAGTTACATTTGAGTCTCCCATTAAATCCTTAACAATACACAAGAATCCTACTCTAACTGAGGAAAAATACCTATTAGGTAAGAGGTTTGTTTGCTTCATGGGTAGGAGATTGTACTGCTGTCCTTGACAAAGTATTCCTCAGAAAACCTTCCCCATGTGTAGTGCTGATGTCAAATGTGAGATTATTTATGTTTCAGGTGGAATGAGGCTACTTAATACATCTGCCCATTTCCCAAATTTTGCTGAAGTAGCCCAGTGACTCCTGTAAGTGGAACAAGTGCACAAGGACCATGTAACATGGCCAGGCTGTAGCTGGCAGCTTCCCTCTGGCTTGGCTTTCTCTGTCTTTTATGGACTTTCCCCTTGGTAGCAGAACAGTGTCCATAGGTGCCACTGTAGCTAAATAAGTATGAGCTGGATGAGGGGACCAGGCCTTGGAAGACCTTTGGGAATCACACTTTGGGAAGTGTGATATTACTGTCCCCAGCTATGGCCTCCCCTGGATCTGTGAGATTGGGAATCTTTGAGCTTTCCAGCTTTCTGCTGTTAGAACAAGGGGGATTTTTGCCTCTTTTATTAATGAATTTCTCTCTATAAGTGTTAGGGCAAATTTGCTGTGAGAGTGACTCATGCATTTACACTGTGAGCAATGTACCTGAAATGGCTCAATGTGTGGGATGCTCAGCATGCACTGGCTGTGCATAAAATGAGAAATGTCGCAGGAAAGAGGCTGTAACCCACAAATCCCTGCTATTGCTGTGCTTTGTACATGGACCTGATGGTGTGCTGACACACAGCTTTTTAGTTAAGGTGCACTGCAGCTTAAGATCCTTCTGGAGGGTTTCTTCCAGTGAAGGTGGGGGGAACTGAAAGTTTCATAGATATTGGTCAGGCAGAAAGCATGAGATACTTTCTGCCTAAGAAAAGATACTTTTTCTAAGAGATACTAAGAAAAAAAATTATACAGTAAACTCGCACAGTTGTTGTAGAAGTATCTTTCTCTTCTGTTGACTAGGTGGAAATCTTATGTTCTTGTTAATGTGAAGGAGATGGTGATCACTGGAAAGCAGCAATAATGAAGGTTTCCTGCTCTGTTCTTTTATAATGCTGAACAGACAGTTTCCTGATATGAGTATATATCTCATTTTTTTGGTATTATGTACAGGGAATTAAATATAACTTGCTTTGCCTTGTGCTGACCACTAGAAATGAAGTATCAAAATATGATACTTATATGTTGCTTATATTAATGGTATTTGTACCTTTTGTGTGTGACAACTTCAATGTGGTCTTGTTGCAGCTTCAGTATATTAACTGTTTATGAAAGGGTTGCTAAAATATAGCAACTTTTCAGATTTGAGTTTATACTTTCCTCTGAAAACTCACATTTGTGTGCAGGGTTTTCTGTTATGCATGTGGTGCTAAGGAGAAGATGGGAACCTTAAGCCCAGAACTTAAAATCAGTGAAACCTGGATTTCTGAGAGCAGATGCTGACTGACATGTGAGTTCTGACTGCTATTTTATCCCCCCACTTGGAGGGCCTAGAAAATAGGCTGTGTGGATTATTGTGTCTACTTTCTAGCCTCTTTGGCTATGTCTTTTTTTCCCAGATGGGTGTAGTTTTCAAGTTTTAAGTGCTGTGGAGCTCATTCTGCAGACTTCTGCTCCATTGGGGCACTAAGTAGGTCTCCCTTGCACATACCCTGCTGCTTATTTTCATAAAATCTGTGGGAGCTTACTGGCTTTGAGACTATGGGTCCTTTGTTAAATGTGTCTGAATTTAGTCAACAGGCTCAAAAATTGCTGGAAACATGGATGGACAGACTACTTGTGCCCATGTGTGCTCTCAAGTAAGGAACGGTTACTCTTTGCACGTGTAGGAACACGTATACCAAGTACTGCATATGATTTTTTTTTTTAAACTCTGTACAGCTGATAAAATTCCACCAGGTCTGAAAATTAAATCCCACTTTAACAAATAATTGATTTTCTTCTTTTTTTTTTTTCTTTTCCCAGGCATGTTATTTGTTTATTTATTTTTCTTCTCTCTAATCCATTCCTATAAGTGGTATAAGAGAAATGCTGACACACTCTTGCCTCTGCTATCACCAGTGGGTGCTACTCTAAAAGTATCTAATGATTTTAATGAATTTTGTGGCTGAAAGTTCGACACTGAAGCTTATTTAAAAGCATTCAACAGTGAAAAAAGAATAGGCCTTTATTGATATCTAGTCAAAAGTGAAGACTTAGCTGTAATTATTTACAAATCAATTAATGGACCTTTCCTCTAACACCCTATCAGTCAAAGACTGGCTAAGAGCAGCAGAGAGCATTGATAAGAATACACCATGAAACAAAATCAATTGGTTTTTGTCATTCTGACAGAAGTGAGCTCTACACGTGGATTAACCCAGAATGCAACAGGAAAATGTCCACAGGCTGGAAGATAACCTAATTTTGTAAAATCAAGGTTGTCATAAGAATCTTTCATAATTGATGGTGAGATTAGAATTTATCTAGCAGCCTGGTGGTAAAAATCAAAACAGCTTCTGGTGCAGTATTGCAAACACTTCAAAGCTAGGTTGGTTTCCTCAGATATGGAATCTGTGCTTAATGTCAGCTAATTTAAAGAAAATAGATACAGGGCATGAGCTTTGACATCATACTTTTATGAATGAGGTCATATATTTAGGATTGTAGTTGGCACTTACAGAATGCAGTCCTTAGGAAGTATTAGAGCACGTGTATTTCTGATGCTGTAGGACAGCTGCCAATATTTTTTCTATTACCTTTTGGAAAGTTTGGTGGTTTTTTAATATGTTTTTGTGTACAAAATCTTTTGTTCATAATTTTTATCTGAATATGAAGTAATGATGGTATTTGAATCAAAATCCTGGCTCTAGTATGATTCTGCAAAAAAACAACAGCCCCCCTTAATATTTCCTCAAAATGGTCTGAAATATTTTTGTAGTTATCAGCAGAGCACTAAGATAGTATTGGGGTGATATAATTAAATGAAAAAACTTAAGACTATCAGTTTTAGACAATCTTGGCTCTTTGTGTAATCACACAATGTGGAATTCTCAAGAAATTTTCAGTCCTGTATCTAGATTTCTTTGGTTCACACTCAGCTCAGTAAGAGCAGTGCTCTGATTTCTGCCTCCAGCTGTGCAGTACATATTTTACAGCCTTATGATTAGCATAACTTTATTCCACTCAAGCATTCCTCATCAGTGTGCACCAGCTTCCTCTCCCCACAATGGGCCTTCCCCAAGCTGCTTTTGGGAAATCCTAGGGAAAGACAGCTCTATGCACATGCTGCACCTTCTCTCTGTCCTTCCAACACCTCTGTTGCTCCTAGCTGTAATGTGCTTTTCTGCATTTCTGCAGGTTATTTTGCAAATCATCCAAACAGTGTGGCAGTAACGCTTCTTGTTTATTCAATTCAATTTTCAGCCTAAGATAATTCTAGAGATTGCGCCTCCTCTGGGATTTAATGCAACAACTGTTCCTCACCAGACAGTGCAAATAGGCACTGGTGAGTACAAGGGCAGGAATACCTGAGAATCATTTAAATAAACAGCAGGCCAAGCCTTAAAGCAGAACCCAAACAAAATATATTAATCAAAATGATTTATCAGTAATGTTTTGTGACCAAGACCAAAGGTCAGCAGAATAACCTTTCAGTAATGCATCGTGCAGTCATGCAAAAGACCTGGTCTCTGTTCCCAGGCTTGGTCTGAACAAACTTGTGTGGTTTGTTTAATCTCTACAGGGAGAAAGCTCTGCATTGCTCATTGATTTCAAGGGTGACTGTAAGGATTGGAAGTATGTGCCCTTTTGGTCCTGAAATGGGACGACGATGCTTGAGAGAACAAGTTTTTAGGGACTTTCAAGTGCTAGAAATATGCAGTGAATGTTAGGAAGAAAGATATGGAGCTCTAGCTTTTAAAACAGTTAAACATTCTAAACCCTTGAGGAGGTAAAAGTGCATGTAGTGAGTCTGACAACTCTGTGCTGAACATACAGGATTCCCAAAGAATGCTGCAGTGCTCAGAGGTGCTTTGTACCAACAGAGATGCTTACGTTTCCAAGCTACTAAAAAGAAAGGTATTTTCAGTGAAAATAATAAATACACTATAAGAAGAAAAGCTAGGGGAACTGTTGTTGCTCTGATAACCATAACTTTGATATTAATTAGCATGGCAGTTCTTTTTAACTGCTAACCTCTAAATGTTTCTCTCAGCTTATTATTTACAGTAGCAATTTAAAAATTCTATAAGATTTTTTCCTTTATTATTTCATATTTATATATCTTTGGCAGTATTGTCCCCACCCTCTCTGGGTTGTTTTTCCCTTCTTTTCCACACATGTTCATCTCTTCTCAAGTGGGGCAGAGTGAAAGGGCCAGAGGAGGAATCACTGAACTGAAGTCAACATCCTGGAATAAATTCTTTCTAAAAAATAATAAACATCTTGTCTGCAAGACACAGAACTCTTCATTTAAACTTATTATACTTCTTATGTATCAAAATCACACAATGATGTAGACAAGTAGTAACAAGAGGTAAAAAATGTTGTTTCAAGCTTGTTTGATGCAATCTATTTTTTTCAATATCAAAAGAACTCTACGTATGGTTTCTGACATATGTCATAACCTTGACATTGGTTTAGAAACATGCTAGCCTTAGCTGAGATTGTGAGATGCTTTCTGTTCTTTCTCCTTAGGAGTTTGCTCATGGTCATGACATATCCATTTAAATGCTTTTTACAATGTTTCCTGGGCAAGCACCTATTTTCTTACGGGAAAATTTGACTTTGGGTGAAAAGAAGGTGAGTAGAGGAAAGGAGATGAAAGTACAAAATTAGCTTCAAATCACTGCTTACCGCAATCTAAAACTATATTTTTTTCGCTTACCTTTGGAAAATGAACAGCTGGAAATAGCACAGCATCAGTAATCTGCAGTGACTATCTTGTGTAGCAGAATTTTCCTTGGAGGTATACACATTCTAGGTGATTTGCTTCTTGCAGCTTAAAAACATGTTATTCTTCAAATACATAATTCTCCTTTGCCTGTTGCTTTATGGTAAATATTTTTGAAAAAAAACCAAAACCAAAACATTGTGCCTCTCTAAAAAAGTTCTTTTGAAGTATGTTTTCAAGTCTTTCTACCTAAATACTACTCCTCTGTGATTTTTAAAACACAAATCAGGGGAAAGATGCTCTCACTGGCTACTTTAGATATTAAGTGTAGCCATTACTTTTGTGGCAAATGAAGGTCAGATTATCTAGCACTCTGCCCACTTGCATCTTGAAAACCTCCATCAACGTGGACTCTGTCATGTCCCTTGAGAGGCTGTGCCAGCGAATGATTCTTCCTGCTGAAAAAGCTTATTTCTTACATCTAGGAGCAAAACACTGGTAATTGATGATGAAATTGTGTTTTTTGAAGAGGGGATTGTGAGAGCTTTGTGTGTGTAAGAGACACAAAGAGCAAATCCAGTCTAAGTAGATAAATGTGTCTGAGCAAATTTTTTGAGGGATTTTTAAAATTTTTTTTTTAAAAATAAAATATCTGAAGATCAATTCTAAATCTGCCTTTATTGTTTCAGAAATTGTTGGACTGAGAATATTTTGCCTTGGCTTCACTCAATGAGAAATTAATCCTTAAGCTTTCAGCCCCCAAAGTACTGCACAGTTGAACATCAAAAATAAGTGTATATGAGGCATGTTTTGATTTACCTTAAATCTGTATCCTTCTCATGCATCAAGCTAAGCAGTCTAATAATATCACAGCACATCATGACATCAAACTCAGATAACCAGATGGTTCTCTGTGACTCAAAGAAGTACAGTTGGCATCTGCAAGAGAACAGCCTTCTTTTGTAATTATTATTTTCCCTGGCATTTCACCCAAATTACTAAGAAAGTGTAAAACTTCCAAACAAACTCTAAAAAGCTTCTCTGCCAACAACCATACTATTCCATATTTGAGCACCTAATTAAAATATTTTGGTATCCAAATTTGCAGATGAAGTCAACATTTAGGGGGATTGGACAAGGTGATCTCCAGAGCTAGCAGGCCACCTTTTGACAGACTTCTAGTTTTGTAGATTTAGATCTGTGCTTTCTCAAACCCCTTGGTTTGTCAAGAACATTAAGCACTTTTGCAACTGATGGTAATTCACATTGCACTTTTTAGAGATCCAGCATCTCCCTTTAACAGCCTGGGGAAGAAATATAACTCTGGCAGCTTGTAAGAAAATCGAAATATAAACTTTGGTTGGTGGGAACACCTTATCTTTTGTAATTAAGGTAGGAGGAAAAGTATTAGCTATTAGACAGCTTAAAAATAAAAGAGTCTCACATGATTAAGCATACCTAGTATTTTATGAAATCTGTGTGAAATTCTATTTTATTTAACATCTTAATATTCACTTAAGAACAGAGTCCTAGTGTAAGGATAACTTCAAGACAAATGGAACCCACTTTTTTCCCCAATTAAAAAGTTCTCTAATCCTGTTTGCATTATATACAAAATTGCTTTTAGTGATAGAGAAATTGTTATCTTTACCTGATATCCATTTGGACAATGTTAGCTCTAGATCCTAGCTTCATCTTGACTGCTCAGCAATGCTCAGTAAGAGAGACATTAATATAGACATGGAGCATGGGAACAGAGCACAAGTTTCTGAAAAAGAAGAACAAAAATACCACGTGAGAAAAACCAGAAAGAGTAGAAACTGAAGACAAAGTATAAAGTAACCAGGGAGTAGGGAAAAGTGAAGGAATAAAGGAAAGGTCAAAAATTAACTTGAGTTCTGGTAAAATATACCACAGGCTGCCTGTCATTTGAGGTCAGAGGAAAGTTTCAGTAGCTTTTACCAATAGGCAATCCTATGAACTTTGATAACTCAAAAACTGGAATTGAAGAAATTGGAACAGATATTAATCTTTGAGTTCAGGAAAATGTTACAAGCTTAAAACAGCTTGAGGATTACAGATCCTCAAACTTGCTGAGACGTCTATAAACTTCACAGAGTTTTTATAGCAATCTTAATTGTTTATTTATTGTTGGCTTAAACTTTAGGGAGTAACCTCATCATGCAAGGGTGGTGTGCTCTTACTGCTGCTCGTCACAGCCTTGCTGGGGGGAAAAGGAGGCTATCAGACCTCTGAGTGGTAAGTGCAGTGGTGGTAGGATAATTCCATTTTGTTGAACTGCCAAAACATAAAAAGACAAATGTGACAAAATTTATCTACAACTGTGCAATGTGCTTTCACCCCAAGGGGCAGATGAAGACAGGTGGAAGTACGTGAATACTAAAATAACAGGAGGAGAGGAGCCAGCTCAGCGCTTGTGCCTGTAACTGTGGCTGTGGCTATAAAAACAAATTAGTGTGGGGTGAGTTCATTATAAATTCAGTGTTGGTTACTGCCTCAGTACATGTTTTTGACCTATGGTTAATCTGAAGTAGTGCAAGGTGGTTCCCATGTGCCAGAAGTGCCTATCAGGGAAATTCCCAAGAGCGTCTGCTGGTGAATTCATGAGCTCCTCTGCCTTGTGCAGTGCCCTTATCATGGTAGAAAGAAAAATCAGCCTAGCATTTAAATATTGTTCATGAATTGAATGGGCAGATATGTTTCAAATTATGTTTTACAACACAGCTCTGCTGTGACTTCACCGTTTAATTTTTTAAAATTGTGAATCAGCACTAAATTTCCAAGGCAAAATAGACAATAAGGCTGGTTGGCATATATTTGGCTGTCAAGAACTGGTTAAGCTAGCTTTGGTCTAGCTCTTATTTCGTGCCCAGAAGTAACTTTGTAGACATAAATTAAAGCATGCAAATACCTGTTTGATCTGAGACTGCAGTAGGTAATTAGGTATCTTTGGAAAAAAACAGTCTGTAACTATTTCCTGGAGGAGAGGAATGAAAGAGAGGGGTTTAGAAAGTAAGCAGTTAGTGTTTTATATTATACTAGAGCACCATGCCAGTGCAAGCCATTTTAGGCTCAATCCCTGCATTCAGAAAACTGATTCACATTGTAAACTTGACCTGCACTGGATTAATGATCAGAAGATCTCTTGTTTTATCCCTGGACAAGTAGATCATGTTGCCTCATGACTTTCAGAGTTTTTTGTCCTTTCTGACAGTTTACCTAGGGATTCCTAGGGATGAATAAAGATACCAGTGGTAGTGTGATCTTGTTACCTAAAGCGAATTGAAAGGTCTTAAATACAATCATTGTAAGTTTTTGACAAATGTCATTATTTAAATATAAAGGCACGAAGGAATAAATTTTCAAAGCATTGCCTGGAGGACTGGCAATATTTCTTGCTTTGTAGTGAGAAGAATAGTACATTTTAGACTTAGTCCTGTATTTGAAAGAGCTCAGTAGATGAGATCTGAGGGCCTTTGAGTTTAGAAAACTTTGTTTTGGGAGGTCCAGGTTGAACTTTAAAAGCTGTGTATCACCCTGAAAGCCTGGCCTGTGTATTCAATTTCCCTGTCATTTCAAGGTGAGAAGAACATTTTTTTGCTTACAGGCTTTTCATTAATGTTGAAGAGAAATCACGAGAACAATCAGCTCTCACGATGGTTTGAATTTCTTTTGGTAACGATTCATGTAAATAGGTGTGCATATGCAAGCTAGACATAGCTTTAGGGCTGCTGTTAAATTATCAGTGCATATTCCAGTTGAATTAAAATTGGACAGCTCTGACATGCCCAGCACTGTTAGTTGTAGGAGCAGCATTTAGATATACTACTTTTTCTGGAAGTAAAGTGGGTTGACTATGAGTTGGGATTTGGGATGGGGTTGAGTTGTGGAAGTCATAGAAAACCAAAACTCTTTATTTCTTATGAACTGTTTTCAACTCAGGATTACTTTTAGGTTATACAAAACTCTTAGGTTATCCAAACAACTGAGCAAAGTCTTTTAGCAGTTGTGTTAGCCTCTCTTTGAAGCAGGTGTGCTATGCAAGTCTTTCAGATATAGAATCACAAACTGGCTTGGTTTGGAAGGCCCCTTAAAGATCATCTAGGCTCTCCTGTCTTGATCAGGGGCACCTTTCACCTGTCCAGGTTGCTCAAAGTCCCATCCAATCTGTCCTTGAATGCTTCCATGGATGGGGTATCCACAGCTTCTCTGGGCAACCTGTTCCAGTGCCTCACCACTCCCTGAGTAAAGAAATTCTTCCTAATAGCTAATCAAAACCTACTCTCTACATCAGCTAGCTCTCTTGGTGTGCCCTTGACTGATTAGGAGTGATGCTGGCTACTGCCTCTCTTCATTTTTAAGCAGGTTTTTAAGGTTTAAAGCAGAGCTGCTGGAATGCAGGTTCTCTCTGTTTTGAAAAGACAGAAATACAAAGTAGGCTGAGCCCCATTTACCTGAACGTAGGGGACCACAGTAAAGTAGAGAATATTTCTTTACCCAATGCACCAATTGCAAGAAGTACTTGCAAATTGTTAAATGGATCAAGGGCTTCCCATGTGAATGAAATCAGTGCACACACAGCAAGGACAAGGTGCTATTTGAATAAGGTAGTGAAAAGAAATGTTGATTGCACAAAATACATGTGTTTAAGCAGCAGTCAGGGTCATTTGTCCCTCTTTACCAGGGTGATCTTTACAGTAAAGGTGTAAATTTCATAGAATTTTAGGAAAATTTCCTACTCACATTTATGCATTTAAGCTATTTTAAGGTAATTTGTGTGGAATTACATGGGCCAGTAATAAGCCTAAAACCTAATAAGACCTAATCTGGGGATGGGAAACGGACCCAACAGAGCAGGCTGGGAGGGAAATGCTTGGTATTGTTCTTTGATGCTTCTTAAAATATGTGGCTAGGAAGATTTTAAGAAAATATGAGTTTAAAAAGATGCTTTAACGGTGCTTTCAAATGCATAAGGCCTTTGTATTTACCTGCTGGAAATGTGTGATACAGAGAATCAAGGTAAAAGAGGTGTTGAAATCCTTGGGAATAAACAAATAAAAGGCTGTCTAGGTGAGTGTAGTCCTGTGTTTAAATCAGAGGTTGTTTATTGCAAGGTTGTATCCTCAAAGCAGCTGTTCACAATAGCTTGTTGTACCAGTTCTACAAGATTTTCTGAAAGAAAAATCAAGATATGAAGCTTGCTGTTTGCTTGCCAAGGTTTGTTTCACACAAAAGTCCTGCATCTTTGCAACCTGTTCTGGGAGCCTTTTGCTTTGAGAAGGAGCTCTCTTTTTCTCTCTTGATCAGGAATAAATCCCATTCAAGCCCAAAATAAAGGGAAAAATATCTTTCCTTCATTTTTCTTTTCCTTTCAGATACTGGGAGTTAGGGGGGAAGGGAGAAACGCTAGAAACTGAGAGATGTTAAGAGCAGGCTTTAGAGCACGTTTAGCTATAATCGTTCTTATACACTCATGCATCTCTATCCTTTTATTAGCAGCCCTCCATGAAACATGGAGATTAGCACTAGTCATGTGGAAGTGTTTAAAAATTCAAGAAGTGACAATAGGAAGTGTCAGACAGTAATGGAATAAGTATGACAAAATTACAAAGACAGCAGCTATTCATTAATAAATTAGAACCTCATAGGGTTTTTTGAAACTGTAGGTGTCTAACTTGGAAATGATATTCTTCTGGATGCAACTTTATAATTTCCCTTTCACCCTGTTTTGTGGGAAAAAAAGTAATCCCTTTTTAATAATCATAGACCAGATCATGTGTTAATACTTCCCACTGCACATCCAGAAGTAAATTTGGTATGGAGAACTGCAGGCACAGCCACTTCCAAGGGACAGGTGGGGACCGGTGATGGGCAATCCTGGATGTGAAGATGGGGTGAGGAAAAAGCCTGGCTCACAGCGCCTTTCTCACACTCTCTGCTTACTGAAAACTGTAGAGTGTCACACTTGGGGTAGCCAAAACATGATGCAAGAAAGGATGTGTCACAGCTGGGTAATCTTGGCGGTGTCACCAGGAGGCTTGGGGTGGCGTTTCCTTGATGCTCAGCCCGGCATCTGAGGGCTCTGCATGGGATTCCCCGGCACGGGGCTGTGACTCAGGGTTTGGCAGGGGGCAGGCCCACCTCCCCCTCTTTCTCATGCCACTGCACACACAACACCACCCAGATCTCTGTGTTCATGTTTTCCATTTAAAAGCACTCAGGGCCACCCAGTGCTTTGAGTGAGCAGCTGTGGTGGTGGGTCTCACGTTGGTCAGAATGGATCATGTTCTCAGTTACCCACAGTAAATATGGGTGGCCACGGGTCTCTCGGGGAAGTGCTTCCTTGCTGTCTGGAGGTGGCACCTATTGTCTGCTCTTCAAGCTTTGCTGCTGGAAATACTTTTCTTCTGCTTCCTCTGTCTGTAGATTTGCGTGCAAATGGTCTTGAGAAACCTCACATGGGAGAAAACCTTTTGAATCTGCTGCTCTGGTATAGAGGGACCAGTTTAATGAGAAACACTTCTCTGTAAAAAGATTTTATTAAATAAGGTCCCTTGTTCCTCTCTCCATTCCCTGCCCCTTTTGTTCCCTTCACTTTCCCGTCTGAGGACTAATAGGTGACTCTTGGATGTAATATACATTTTCTGATCAGCTCTCTGAGGGCTGAGTCCCCTGTCCCTCCATACAAGAACACCATTTCTTATTAATTTTTTTTTTTTAATGAAATGAGCTTATTAACCTGCCTTCTACTTTGTGTAAACTGTAATTAAAATGTATGAAGAGTTGAACCCAGGAATGCCTTCTACCCTGGCAAAGTTTTGTACAGCCATGGCAGCTA